CCCAAAATAATCGATGCTCTCTTCGATTATTCGTTAGACGGTCTCATTCGATAATGTTTTTTGTATAAGTCATTCCACATCATATACGTTTAAAATCAGMTGAGTTCRTGGTCTTCGAAGTTTTTAACAATTACTTAAATCGGTCGTTGTAATATAATATAAATAATTATTAGGTATATAAATATTGGAGTAAATTTATTCAGTCAAAAATCGGAATAAATTTAACACGTTGAGAAAATATGAACTCGATTTGATATTAGCATAAATAAATTAGCTAATATTCTATGTACGCACCTTTATCATGGGTACGCGTATTTAAGTCACTGTGAAACAACGAGTAGAAATAATCGAGTAAAATCGTATAAAAAATTATACTGATTGTAAAATGATAAAAAAAAGGCGAGCTGACGCCAAACAGCTTGTGCTGTCGAGTAAAAGGTAAATGGAGGGGGGTCTATGCTGCACTTAATTCCTTTACGGGTTTTCCGACCAGAAATATTATAATAATACGATGTTTATAATTTTTATATTTTTATTTCCRCCCATATTGGATGCGATTTATGTGTATGTCGGTACAACATGAATCTGATTTGTGTGTCACGACTTGGCGCACRAATAAGAGTCGAATAATCCAGTTCGACGAGACCACTCGCATCATTGTAGTCGTAGGCGGAGTTGGCCAGCAGCAGCAGCTATATTCGCTAAAACCCGGTTTTCGCGGTGCATTATTCGTAAAACGGGTTAAATTATTATATTTAACAAGGCGAGGCGTTCCGATTTATTCGTACGGCAAAGCTGATAGATGATTAACATAATAATGCATTTTTTAAATGCAAAGGAGGAAGAAATTTCTATAATTTGAACAGAAATAAAAAATATTTCTTCATGATAAGTTTACCAGATACAACTTAATTTATATCCAACAGTTCACTAAAATAACTTTTAAGGTACTCTACTACGTAGAGAAAAAACTTGAAATTTGAAATAATTTTTTTCAGCTGAAAGACGCCTAAATGGTATTAGGTACAGTGGTCGAGTTGTGGGGAGGAAGAAAGGAGGTACAATATTGTACTCTTATCAACGTTCAATATACTAAATATTTTGTGTTTAGTAGTTTCAATTTTGTATTAATTCGCATTTGGTCGCAGTTTCACGGTTGTGCGCGAATAAGGACACGGTTTCATCAAAAGTATGTTGCAAAACAGGTTTTTCAGTTTCTTCTACATAATAGGTGGTAAATACAACAYCGTAAAAGAAAATAATTATTCGCAAATTGATAAGAGTTATAGATAATTTATTTTTTTCATTTAGAAATAGATTTTATGGGTGTATTATAATTAATAATATTCACTWAATTTATTTTTGTCGAAAGAGGGTGCTCTTTAAAAAAGAAGAACCTATGTATTAAAACTATTATTGATTTTTGTTAATTTAAGTTAAGTAGAATTAGTATATTTTTAAGTATTTTAGTATTTGCAGTAATATTTTGGTGGTGTGCTTTGGCAAGGTCAATAATGTAYTATAAAATATAAATATTTGGATTTCACACTGCACTGACGATCGTTCGAACTAAAATCATCATCGATAGCATTGCCTTTTCACAATCTTTTTCATGAAATTGTTCTAAATATCTCTCCACGTGTCCTCCTTATGGTGCTTTTATATATGTCCATGAGAGACGAGGACACATTTTGTACTTCGATATTTTGCTCTTACGATGAAACTTTTGAATAATTTCACGATTTTTAATTATTAATTCCGTCTTAACAATCCAACCATGGSTAATTCATGCAAGAATTAGTATATTATCATAAAAAGGTACCGGCAGTAGAATCGTCGTCGGCGGCGATGCTGTTGGTTGCTGCTCGCTTAATTTCCAGGTCAGGTCTCGCGACTCTCCTCACATCTGTCAAGTAA